CACTCAGTTGCTATGGTAACCACCCGAGAAAGGGCCAAGATTCACACCTGGGCCCATTCCGGTCGCCGAAGGCCGACGTGTACCCGGGCCGAAAGCCGGAAAGAGTCCCGGGAGCAAAGACAAAAATAAACTGCTGGCAGAACAGAGCCTTAATGGCATATTTCCGGTTCAGTACGGCTGAACAATACAAAAATTTTTACAAGCTTTTTTTTCCCCCAGCTTGCTGTCCAAGCAACGCTGTAACTGGGATACTAGATTCAGGATTCAGGGTGAAAATATGCACATCACGTCTCTCACCTCAACAGATCGATGCAGAGGGATTTTTTTTGCCTTTTCTGCAAAGCCAGGCCAGGATAGGGTTATTGGGTGTCAGTTTCCACCAGATAAATGACATTTTCTAAGCTATTAGCAGCAGCTATAAGCAGGTGCTGACATAGTCCCTTGTCCCTTGTGTCTGAATACATATTCTAACAAGCTGCTAAAGCCAGAAAGCTCTAGTCCAAGCTATAGTAAGAGGCTGTGTGGAAACTATAGATGCATGAAATAGGTTGAATTTTGACACTGGATGTATCCCCCAAAACTCTGCTTGATCTCTGCTTGATCCTCCTGAACTCTTGCAGAATTACTTAATCCTGCTTTTAAACCAGGACACTTCTCTGGAACATTTCCAGGTGTGCTTCCTCACTGGGACATCACCTGGATCTGTACTGGAGAGGAAACCGTTTTCAAGAGCGACTCAAATTGTAGACAAACAAGCAAAAACACTTCCTACTCTAACTTGTCACTGTAGTGAAGCACCTTTTTTTTATGCCAATTTAACTCGCTATGGCACCGGAGATCTAATGCTCAGAGATACATTCACAGGATCCCCCAGAAAATGTCTACAGGTGCAGTAAGTTACAACAGGATACCACTTCCACAGCCCCATGGGGCAGAAATGCACCCAGGCTCATTACAAGTCTCTCCATCTCAGGCTGAATGAGACGCGCACACACCCAATGCAGGTCTCGGGCAGGGGCAGTTCACTAAACCGCAAAACAGTCAGGGAGGCTGCCTTCAGCTCCTCCTTTAGGGTAACAACCCAAGGCACAGCAGGCAAAAAATCCCCCACTTCCCTGTCCAAGTGTCACTCTCCACACACACGCACACACACCCTAGCCAGCACAAATCACATCTCCAGGTCAAGCCAAGGACGCTCACTGACCGCGCCCTCTCCGCTCGGGAAGAGGATGGGAGGGAGGCAGCGGCCACCAGAACTGAAGGTCAGCTGGGTCAGGAAGCCAGCTACTTCTTGATCAGCCCCGAACGAGAAGGCTTCTTCTGAACACCAGCCGAGCTTTTGCAGCATACTCAGGACACAAGTTTGCCCCCCCCAGGGGCCGACAAAGCCACACAACTTAAGCAGAAAATATGTAAAATAGGCAGAACACTTCCAAAAACAAAATACCGCAAGGATAACGGAGCTGTGGACGGCCGAGCCAATATCCTTGTTTGTGGTGATGAAACAATCTGCCTGTGCTGTTGGGGATCAGTTTAGTATTCGCATTTAAAGCAACAGTGCTTTTGAAATTCCGCTTGTGCCTACCTAAAGGAAATCTGCCTCCTTTTAAAACCTACATTGGTGCGGGCCCCGAGTGTCCGTCTCTAAAGGTAAATCGGGCGAGTGCAGGCCAAGCCCAAAGACCATGGGTTTGAGCCTGGGTGACATCACCAGCTGAATGGGATTCCCCAAGCAGAGTCGAACAAGTGGCCAGTTGTACATGTGTACGCCTGAGAAGCCTAAACCACAAAGAGGACAGTATTAAAACATTTACCTAGTTTCTCATCTATTATGTAACAGAAATAAAATGCATCAAACTTGCTGCATATGAGCTAGAATGCAGCAAACTGATGCTTCTGTCCTTGGGGCGAAGGGGTGGGAGACATCCATTAAGCATAGGGCAAGCATAGGCAGTTATTAAGGACTTGAAAAGACTGCAGTGATGCGTGACTGAGAAAAACATCTATTTCCCTGTTGGAGGTGAGACTTTTGGAAGACACTAGTGTTCTGGCGTTAGAGAGAACACTAGTTTAGAGAGAACAGAAGCAATGTGAATAAATGAACCAGTACGCAGCAGACTGGGAGCTGCTTCAGTCCCATAGCTGGACTCCATCACTCTGCAGTCTGGGTGCTGTCAACATTCCTGAGAGCCCATGGAATGCATGGAAGGCTGTTACTTAACACTGATTTCAGTAGTGTCAAAGGTCAGTGCCAGGGCCTGGTCTCAACACAGCTGAAGAAACAGGGAGAAGGTAATACTGTCAGACGGCACACCTACGTCTAACCCCCTAAATTCCTTGAAATCCAAGACACATATTTGTGCCTGTTCTCTCTCCCCTTTAAATAACAAAAAACTAGAAGAAATCTGCCTCCGTTTAAAACATACATGGGTGTGCAAAAGCCATTGACATCTTACAGAAATTCCAACACTTCCATGTGCTAAGAGCATCATCGATCTACTCAAAACCCCCCAAAAGTATTTTCCTTGTAACTAGTTTTAATCATTACAACTACATTCAGATGAGAAGCCAAGCTTGTCATTTATCAAACTCACCTTTATCATACTTTTAACAATTTTATTACAATCAACGTAGACTGTGAGCATCCAACAAGATGGAGGCTCCAACAGGGTTAGGAGGCTAACCTTTCACCTCGACCAATGAAGTCTATCTGAACCACTGTCAGATGTTTCTCATCATTATAGCTTAGAGCACAGAAGACCATGTTATTTTCAGCATCCCACATCCCACAAAGAAGAAAAGTGGGCTTAACCACTAAAGTATATGTGTAAAAAGATTAAGCATAGGGCAAAAGAAGGAGGAAGATGGGAAGATGAATGTTTCAAGTCCAGTCTTCAGCATGGATTGGCTGGGTGCCTATCAGTTCACCGAGTTTCCAGAAAGACCCACTCTACAGATGCTTTATAAGACTAGTTTGTCTTCAAGAACAGAGCCAACGTCTTGATGTTCCATGCTAGCTGCGTCTAGCTGATCAGAGGATGACACTGTTACACTAGTAATCGTACATCTGCCAATAATCACTTTAAGTTGTATAATTAAAGATTTAACAGATATTCTATTAATGAATAGTATACTAGAAAATGGGGTTCTGTAGAATGCTAAAAAAGCACCTATTATATACTCAAGTGTTCATACTAGCCCTACAATATTAACCTTACTCCATCAGTACTGAACATCTATGGATATATTATCACAGAGCCTTAATTTGAACTATATTGGTCATTAACAGAATATCTTTTAAAGATTTACATAAATTAAACCACATCCGTACCCTCCTGGGCTTAAAAGGAATTTGCTACATGCACAGGCTTAAGGAACTGGATCATTTTAGTGTTGATCAGAGACTAGAGATTCAAGCATTCAAAATCAAAAGATTTGATGAAGTCAATACAGTGGACTTCATCACAACCAGCAGCAAAAACGTAAACCAGACAATACAAGTAAAAACTATAAGGAAGTACATGAAAACAGGAGATTATGCAAAGGAGAACAAACAGTCTGGAGCAAACTTCCCAGCAATATCATAAAAGAAAGCCTGCCTTCTTCAAAAAGACAGCTGGATGAGATCTTTGACAAACAGCCACCGAACAATTAAGATGGGCTAAAAAACCCAGGTCTTATTTGCAACTCCTCTCACGTTTACTACACAGTTTTAAAAACAACTGCTAGATGCCAAAGGTAACAGTAATGACACTCCATATGTATCTAATTTTAACATGCAATGAAACTGGTGGCCATTAACATGTTTGTAAACAACATACCAGTGCAGCACTTTCAATTCCATCTTTTCTTCCACCAGTTTGGGGCCTCACTTGTGCAACACCTACAGGTTAGGACTGAGGCCTAGGTGGGGCTGGCTTACATAACGACTGCAGTGCATACACACAAACGTCAAGCCTGGAGAACACTGAGAGGAAAACAATTCATCCACAGGACTGAGACCCTTCGGCAAGAAAAGATGGCAAGAAGAAACAGCGCCAGCCCCATCCATTAGGGGAGAGTGTAAAAAATAATGGCACAATCAGGGCTCTATGCTTGGCTTGAGGCCAACAACGCCTACAGATAGCACCTCAACTCTACAGAGGAGTTGCAGTGCATGAGCATCTCCACTCCAGACCAGAGACACTGAGCACCAGAACAAGATCAGCCTGAACAAAACCATAGGACACTCAACCACTCTCTTCTCACTACTACTAGGGCACAAGGGCAATTCCAGAGGCAGGATCACTTAAGAAAGCTGGGCCATTCGTATTCTGACTCCCTTTCACTTCACTCCCACTCATCTCAGGCAGGAAAACCAAAAACCAACTGCATCTCCAAGCTCTCTTCCAAAACCCTGTTTTAGCCTTCCAGCTTCCAAAAGGCTAGGACAGCCTCTGGCATGCCAATTCCTTTAAGAAGCACTGACCAACTGCTCTCCAGTAACCAACTTTCTAAATGTTTTGATGGCATGGTTGATCCTGCTTGAATTGTGTCATTTCTAAAACGTTTATTAGAAGTACAAATTTAAAATGGGGATATATTTTGACCTTCAGGAGAACTACCCGGTAACAAGGGAGTTAATTTGTAATGAGTTGAGGTAGCTTCACACCTCACATATTAAGAGTCCACCTTTTTTCATTCCACTTCAGCTATTATTTAGATGAGACATTTTTTCAGGTCTTTTCAAGACCCGATACTCAATCCCATCCTGCACTGATAGTGTATTTGTTTACAAAAGTGTTTACAAGCTAATGGTATAGTTTAACCCCCACCATTAATAGTTTACCCTTCCAAGATCACTAATCATTTGGTAGAAATTGGTAGCATGTGCAAAATACAAAAGGGGTACAAAATGGGTCCAAATGTTTTTCATCATCAGTCACTCCTTCAAGTGACTGGCTTGACTTGCGGTCCTCTGTAATGACACATACACACAAAATGCAGGCTTTCAAATCAGAACCCGTTGAAGAAAAGCATGTTTTTATGTGGAGTTAATTTAAAAGCAGCATACAAGGACTCGCACAACAGACCCCCAAATTACAGAGATGCAACAGTCTGCGAAGGTTGAAGTGACATTACGAGAACAGGAAGTTCTAAAAAAAAAAGCCTCATTCCTAAAAAAAAAAGGATCTTAAAAACTGCACCTCAGGCAAAGCCGTCCTGCCTACCTACAGACCCGCTTGCAAGACCCGAGAGTCCAGCGTTCGAGATCCAGGGTAACCAGCCGCCCTCTTGCCCCGGGACGGCCGCTGGGCGTCTACCTTCGCTGGCCGCTCCTGGGGCGGCCCTTAAGAGAGGGGCGGGTCCTAGACAGAGCACACAACGGGCGCGTCGCAGGGTCACGTTTAAGATTTTTCCACTTTTTTATTTATTATAATTATTTATTCAATTTCCATTTCTTTTTTTCCTCTCGCCTTTTTCCCTCCTCTTTTTTAAAACACAAGTCCAGTTATTTCTATTTCGGATAAAGAGTCCTGAAAGGGGAAGAACTGCCGGTACTCGTCGTCCGGTTGTGGAGATTTTTCATTTGTCTGTGTTTTAATCCGTGTTCTCCTCCGCATCATCTGCTTGCTCGCCGTCCATCAGCAGGGCTGCGTACTTGCTTGCTGAGCTGAACTTCTATGGACAAAGAGATGGACAGACACGGGATCACAGGACAGCCCCGTTTCTGGGCAAGGTTTCACCACTTCCCTTACTTTCTGACCTGCATGTCTTGTTAACAAGTCTTAAGGAAGAATAGTATAGGAGGATGGCCGTCATTGCATTACGATTTTGTGCTGTATCTTGCAGTTTTTGTTCAACCACTCTGCCATGCTTGTGTACCTCGTTAAATTCCAGCCACTAAAACCATGTCTTAGATATTGACATTTGCCAGAAAAATCTCACAAACATTGGAAATTAAAAGTAAACAGTGCACAGCCTACCTCACTGATACACTTGGGTTTAGGGTAGGTCATTTCCAGGGTACCTAATCTCAGCCTTGCCTAAACAAACTGCTTTTTGCAGGCTGAATGCATCCTTTACTTCAGTCAAATTCAGGCCTAAAGAACTAAGACAGTTCTAGTCTAGTTATCTCCTCCGAGACCCCTGAGAAACGATATCCGACCCAGTGTCTGAAAGGCTGGTGGCACTCACAGGGCTTGGGGACTCCTCATATTTCTTTGGCTCAGGTGCTGCTCTGGATTCTCGTTCCCTTCTGCTGTCTTTCCTGAAAATAAACATAATTGTGTTTTAAGATGTCCCGAGCATCTTACTCAAGTAGAGCAAACGCTTCAACTTGCTAGATGAGGTGTGTAAAGACCTGGCTTTGGGCTATGTCTAACGTACAGCTGTCTTATGCCGACACGTCCTACAAAAGGGGATGCAACTAATTTTAAGAAACCTGCCCCGAAACAAAACTGCCAAATGTTGGTGGCAAGTGAGATTATAATTCCATTATTGTCTAAACACCACCGACAGGAGCCCTGAGAACTGAGACGCTAATCTGGCCAAAAGAAGAGGACACTGGGGGCTGACCTGTCGGCCTCCCTTCGCCGGTCTCTGTTCGCTCCGTCTCCTCGCCCCCTCCCTGTCCCAGGACCTGTTGAACCCCCCCGCCCCTTTGCGGGGCCTCTGTCCAGTCGCACACCATCAGCCTTGTTCTCATCTGCAAGGAGAGCCCAACAATGAGGGAGAGGCGTCCAGTATTTCAGCACCATAGGCACAGTATAGGCACAGAGGCCTTCGAGGAGGTCTGGAGTCTAACACCCCCAGTTAATGGGGTGTTTGACATGCGGCACAAGAAGGATACACACCAGATTCCCAGTGCTTCCACTGTCTGCATCTGTCCTGGTCACCCTGCGCCCTGTCCCCACCCCCAGAGAGCTTCATCTTAAAACACATTCCAAAGTAGTGCGCTTCTATGATCGCAAACTTTGCGTTAATGTGATGAGTTTTGTTTTGGTAGGTTTGGTAGGCGGTCTTGTTAAATTGGCATTGTCCAATTTTAAGAAAGCAACAGACCATTTTGAGTTTACCATCTTTGCACAGGTCCATCGAGAATAACCTGAAATGTTTTTTTAGCCCCTTACCTTTTCCTTTGGGAGAGATTTTATCATCTGCAGGACCTAAGGGACTGGAGGGGCAGAAAACAGAAAAGGTATGAAATTGGTGACCCAGGGAAGAAGAAAGACCTGCAAGCCTTGCAATCTTGAAGGAGACAGTGAGTTTATACTAATAGGAAGGTGCAGTTGTACCGCAGTCTTAAAAATGTGTTGATCTGTCTCTACAGGGTGGCCTAAAAATGCTAAATGTTTTACTGAAACAGCCACATGGAGCATGTCCTTGAATTTAAAGTGGAAGTTTGAATTTTCAGCGTTAAAACTTATTATACTATGTAATACAGCCCACCATAACCATTAAGGAACAACTATTTATTAATGAGATGACTGGTCAGATAAGGTTTTATTTTACTGTCACAGCTGCCAGAAGAACAGAAAGTTCAGTGTTAGATTATAGTGTCAAGACAGCATGGAAAACAATCGCCAGCTTACTTAACATGTCTGATATGGAAGGCAATTCTTGTTCTTATGATGGTTATTACGGACTACAATCTTGATAAAGAAGAGCATTCTGACCTGGTCAGTTTTGGTGGTGCAGTACTACCAGGTGACACCGGAGAGCGCCCTTCTCCCTCGCTGGTCCCTCCAGACACATTGCTGCGCTTGGCCCAGGCATTCTCCTTCGGCGGAGGGGCCGGGACCACTTTCAGTGGCAGGGCATCTTGCTTGGCTGGGGGGCGGGTCCCGGGAGAGGGGGGGTCCTCATCACGGCCAAACACCTCGTTCTCCACCGAGCGCTCACTCTCCCTGCGCCGGGATCCTGGAGGGGAAAGGCAGGTGGGGGGGGACAGCCGAGGTCACACCCTGCAATGTCTCAGCCCGCTCAGAAGCCATACTGTGACACAATGGCAAGAATGGAGCAACAAGCTGCAGATGTGAAGGAGCACAGCTGACCCCTTTTCCATGTGATCAAGCTGTGCACAGAGAACAGTTCCATCACCTGTAACTGCAGAGCTGGATCACTGCATTTCGAAACGTGACGAGATGAGAAAAAGATGTAGAAATCATACAATCACATCTGCCTGCTGTCCTTCAAAGCCAGTTTAAGCCTGTTTCTTATTTTACTTCTATACAAAAGCAGTAATCGGGGAATTCCTGAATTATACACAGAATGGAAACCTCCACCACATTAAGAAGTGTCCAAGTTACAGGTGGCTGGAAATGGACAAAGAGTTCTAAAGACCTAAACCCCCACCAATATGACGGGAACCTTACCTCGACCAGAAGTACTGCCTGGCTGCGATGACTCACTTCCTGTCCGGGATCGCTCTGCAGGCTGGTCCTCACTGCGCCAGCTAGGGTGCCTGTAAGGGAAGAGAAAGGGTGATGCACACTTCCTGTTACAGGCACATGAAATGGTGCAGCCCAAGGCTTCCTTTAGGTTCCTTAGGTATGTTTTGCATGATACTTCAAAATTAGTGTAATTCAGGCCTTCTTAACTTCAGCCCTCAAGGATCACAGACAGGCATCTCTTTAAACATACCAAATAATCAAATTCCGAGCAAGAGTTACAAATTCAGTCCAGTTAAAATCTTAACATAAGATGCTAAAAACAAGGCTTTGGACTTGTCAGGGGTTTTATAAGTACTAGTGGGCTACTTTTTAACTGGTAAACTAAACAAATAAAAACAAGAAATAACAAGTATGCAAGTTTATATTAGACTTTCTTCTTTCATCAGAAAACTTTCAAACACCCTAGAAAGTCCCAACTCTATAACTAACTAAACTAAGCATAAAAATCCAGCACACCCAAGTGTATAAATTAAGGTTGCAGACATTAAGTTGCTGACAAAATTCAATAACATAAATCCATCATACCCAGAACAAATTAAATTAGGTATCTGAAATCTTGGGTGGGAGGCAGGAGCCTCAGGATTTCAGGAATTAATGGAATGAAGAAATTAGGAACCGAGATGGAAAGAAAAATAAAAGGCCATGCAGCTCTTACTGCATAAAAGCCTGGGGCTGCCAAATCAGAAGGCAGGCCAAGCTTATTTGTAGCTACAGTGCCCAGTCTGGGAGACGGCCTGTCCCTCACCTCTCCCTGGGCCGCCGCTCTGCTGCCCTGCCCTTGTCCTCCTCCAGCTGCCTCTGCAGCCGCTCCTGCTCCTTCTTCAGCCTCTCCTCCACCTCCCGCTCCTTGGCCGCCGTGTCCACGGGCTTGGCCCCTCCGAAGATGGAGGCTGCACGGCCCGTCTGCGCTGAAGGGGCCCCCGGGTCATCCTCCTTGGGGACGCTGCGGGGTTTGAGGTTCAGCTTGGGCCTCTGGGGGGGGCCTGTTGGGGCAGACACCCGCACGCTCAGCACAGGACAACCCTGACCATCACCGCTGGAAGGCTAGCAGTGTGTCAGCAATACAGCAGCAAGATCTCATCACACCAAGGGACTGTGCATAGTATTGTGGTACATTCCTATACAGCCCAGACTAAATGCATTAAGTTCTGCTTGAAACAACCAGTCACGTAACTGTTTTTGGGAAAACAAGTCTTAAAACTTAATAAACTTACTAAAGGAAATTTAAAAACTTCTACTTCGGCAGCCAGCTGTGGGTTTTTGAAAACAATAGTAATTTTGATAATCATGAATAAAAAAAACAGTGAAAACCATAAGAGCTATAGTGGTTCAATGTCTTAGTGCTCATCCTGGTTTCCAAAGCATTAAGCCATCTAGAGATCACTTGACTCCCCCCACCCTAACCCCTGTATCCACAGGTCCATGCAGGAATTACACCCCAGCAAAAGAATAATTCTAGCTGGGTGGGCTGGAGTAACTGGGTACTCACTTAAGGGTACTTTAGCAGTGTGCAGGGGGAACTTGAAACCACAACCCATCAGTTACAAGGCAAAAGTCCTAACTGCTATGTTATCGCCTAATAAAAACAGCTGAAGGAAAAAAAGGACTTTAATCTATGCAATTGGACACTATTTCAAAAGGTTGTAAAAACAGCAATCTACTGCGATCCACATGTATATGGTGATGCATATAAACACAAAATACTTATTTCAAAAGATGTTTCCTTACCAGCAACCTGCAAAGACCCTCCACTGGAGTCCTCACCTCTGTCCTCGCGCCGCTCATCCCTGCGGTCGTACCGATCATCGCGCTCCCCGTATCGCTCGCCATAGCGATCCCCGCTGCCCCGAAAATCATCACGCCGATCGTCGTAGTCGCGGCGGAACCCACTGCCGAAAGGACGCCGGCCTCCCCCACGTGAGTCAAAGCCTTAGGAGGGAGGAAGATTGGGATGTGTGGTCAATCAGCAAAGACAGGGCACACTACCCAGTCCAAGCCATACGGGTGCCTTGCTGTCCAGTTTGCTGTGCAAAGCACAACAGCTAAGGCTCTAAAATGACAATGTGTTACTTGGAGGGAAATTCCAGCCTCTTAGTATATCTGCAGAATTGGAGATGGGGAAAATGGCTATTAATGTTGCCAGATAAGAGGATCCATCATCTAATAAAAAATAAAACCGGCAGAGCTGCCTTCATCTGCCGACAAGAGGGAGTTGTGAAAAAAAGCAACAGCCACTCTTGACAACTTCTGCTAGGCTTCCATCCTTTTGATTGGAAACAAGGGGAAATATCAGAAATGCTGACTGCAAGAAAAACAACTGGTGAGAGAAGAAAAATGTTTGTCTCCAAGGTTTCACTTCGGTCTTGCACTTTCCTACAAATACCAGGCAGTTACAATTAAAGTGCTATTCCAGCTCACGTCTGCTACAGGGACGAGATTATTGACAAAGAGGACGGCGGTGTGAGATGAGGTGGGGGGTATAATTGCGGCAGCGGCAGTGACTCACCTCTGTCGAAGTCCCGGCGATCCCGGTCTTCGTACCTATCCCTATAGCGGTCTCTGCCCCCCTCAAACCCTCGGTCATTATCCCGGCGTGGGCCATCCCGGTAGCGATCGGACTCATAGCGATCCCGTGATCCTGGAGAAAGAAAAGGATATAAAGCTCTCAAGCCACTCAAGAGGCCAGAGGGTTCCAAGAGCTGTTGCCCGTTTTTGTTCTTTCGTAACAGAACACTGCCTCGTTTCACATCCTTGTAAGTTAAACAACCCAGATAATTCAACTTTAACGCGTTGCTTGGGAACATTATGAAAAATAATCTGGATGAAGCTATTTTTGCTAAAATGCTAACCTACTGTTTCTTCCATTGCTGGTTAATGCAAAAGCACAGCTTCTCATTGTATTTTACGATACGTTAAAAAACAAACGTACAAACATTTTTAGAAAAAAAAGGACTAAGAAAAATCACCCACGAATGTTTCAAATCACCATAAAACAATCACGTTTCAAATCAAGTAAAGCTGTAACCAGTTAATGGTTCATCTTCTGTCTTGACTGTATTGTCCACCTGTGGCATACAGGTGGAAAGGCCCTGTATGGAAAGGAGTGACTGATCCAGCCCAATCTCGAAACCTCCTAAGTACTCACGCTCTCCAAAGGCATCGTCTCGCCGGGGCCCCGGGTCATCACTATCTGCACTGGGCCGTGCCCTCCAGTCACTGTCCGTCTTGTCGGGGCCTCCGTCACCCCGGTTTCTGTCTCGGTCCCGGCCTGACATTGAGCGGTCATCACGGTCTGATGAGAGCGAGGAGCACAGGGGGGTCATGAGAAAGTGCTACACGAGTATTAGGAATGGTGTGTCGCTACACAACCAAAACACTTAACGAGCTGTAAACCTACACAACTACCTGTATCAGAACATCACGCTAATGGCACAAAGTACGACTCAGATATTGGAAAACACACCCATTTCCTTGACAAAGTCATTCAGAGTTGGGACATTATTCTCTCTTAAGTGTGCCTTTAACATTGAAGTTGGTGAGCTCTTTCTGGAAAAACAAACCCACCATAATGGCTCTTCAGAAAAGGCTTAGCACTTCTCTACCCACATCACCACATTATCAGTATGACCTACGCCATGCTCAAGACAGTAGGGTTGGGTACCGCCTCTGGGAAACGTACCACAATATACTGTGGTACACAGGCATGTACTGCGATACATACCGCGATACACTGCAGACTATTTTGCATGTTTTTATACGGGGATTCTCTCATAGTTTGATTTCATGATTAGTTAAGCATATTGAGTTGTATACAAAATAATGAAAATTGTTGTTTTATTGGAACCAAAGAACTAGAAATAACACTGAACTGTGTAACAGAACGATTTAACAATATGCAGATTTTTGTCAGTCACTAAATGATTAAATTTTTTTTCACTATCTTTTGAAGGTTTATTTTGTTTAGCAAGAAAATGTAAAATTAAAAATACAGGTTGAAAATCCTTTATCTGAAATTCTAAAATCCTAAACTTCCCAGCTCACAGTGATGTCATCGATGACGTACCCTCTCCCTCAGGTTTCTCGGACCTGATGTAGTTGTAATGTCTGGGGCTGCATTTATCTTCAAGTTTGTAAGCAGTGATCATCATGTTTTGTTTTGTTTTTTTGTACAGTAAGTACAAAACATTATTTTTCTGATGGTATTATGATAAAAAAAATTAAAATATATATATAACTACATTCAGGGTATATGTATAAGCTATATTATGAAATGTAAATGGATATCATGTTTAGACTTGGGTCCCATCCCCAAGCTGTCCCATTTTATAGACGCAAATATAAAAATATTCAGAAATCCGAAAAAATCCTAAATCCGCAACACTTTCGGTCCCAGGAATTGTGGATAAGGGATTCTCAACCTGTATGACATGTGGTTGTAAGTTGTAACATTTTTTCTTTACAATGTTTAAAGTTGACATTCATAGCCTTATGAAACATGTTTAACATGTTCAATTGCCTTTGGGTATTTCTTCTAAAACTTCAAAGAATCCTCAATACTTGTTTATAACATTGTTGAGACAAGACATTCTATATTGATTTAAACAGCTTAAGACAATCTTACTTGCAAAAAAGAAAAAATATCAAAGCATGTCTAATGGTAGCAATGGAATTAAAAACATGGTCAAGACTAGAATTCCTTCCCAAATAGAGTTACAGTTCTATCAGAAAAAATAGCACATGCTCAATGGGTCATTGAAAATAAGCATGTAACAAGCACCATTAACAAAGTCAATGGTAAACAACTTAATATTACAACAACTGTACCCATTGATTTGTAAGGAGTATCTGATGGTATTTTTCTCTAATTCTGTGTAAAAATATAGGGATACTTTTAGAAATTAGAACTGCCTCAGAAAGACAACTCTAAGTAATAACCATATGTTTTTCAGGAGAAATAAGAAAAATAATCCCCGTGTTATCATCAAATAGTCCCCAATTCAGATTATTTCTGCATCTCATGGCATATTTCTAAATTTACTAGCCAATGATATGCGGGAAATACCTTTAGTATGACTTTTTTTACTCACCCTTTTAAAGTTAACGACATTTGTATTGCAGTCTTTTTGTCCATTGAATCAAATTTGATTTTATGAATGTAAACAGTAGAAAATCTTTATTCAAATCCAAAAAACGAAACCGCTGACAGAAATTGCCGGAAATTACCGAGCGTACCAGTACGGTCTAAAACGAAACACGGTACGTACCGCGTGACTAAAGAACCGCGGTTTACCGGTATACCGGTTTTACTGCGCACCTATAAAAGACAGAACAAGAAAAGGTCTTTCATGCTAAAAGAACCGAGGCCTAAATGGACAATATGAAACAAGAACACTTAGATAGAAGTAAAATGTGGTACAGTGTAGTGAAGTGAAATAAATTGAAGGCCTTGCAATGACTGTCCCAGACTCAGTGGGACAGCTCACTGTACCTGTCCTGTATTTAAAGTGAGAACTTTACTATCTTGGTTAAATGCAGTATAGAAAAGCTTGGCTCATACCCCCTAGACCTCCATACCTTTTTCTTGTGACTGGTCTGCAATGTCCACACGGATTCTCCGGTTCCCCAGATTCTGAAAAGACAGTCTTATGGTCAGCCAATTCAACTTCCCTTTCACTTAACTTCTGAGCTCTAAGATACAGCAATGACTCTGCCAGGCTGAACAAGGTTTCAGAATAATCTGGCCACATTTCTTGCCTGGAAAATGTGTACAAAAATAGATGTTATCTTTTGGAGTAAACCAGTTATTGAAATGGGTTGCAGTCCTCCCTCTCCTAATGAAAAAGTCATGCATAACCCAACCTATGAGTTTAAGTCAAGGCAGAATGTTCTTTGCAAAATCACCAGGAGGAATGCTTACTGAAGGCCCAACAGTGACATCTAGTGTTGGCCCACAATTATGTGCTGAACTTCTAAACACAAGACTGCTCCTGGCTTGTCATTTAGGAAATGCACAAAAGGTATAACAGATTTCAATCGAGTGAAAATGTAAGGCTTCAGGCTGGAGATGAATTACACATGCGTACACAAACTAATCTTAAAGCCTCAAAAGGTCTTGAGTGGTTTAAACTAACCTCCATCTCTTTAATATGAATTCTTGCTACTAAAATCACACCAGGAAATATTTGTCTTTGCCCTTCATTGTACTCTCATGCTACAAGGGTTCACCTGGCCAGCAAGCCATTTAATATTGCACTTGTTGTGTGGTCTTCTATATAACTGATACATGGCTTTCAGCATCTGCTTTGTTATTGTGTCACAATTATCTATCTCAACCAAAACTTCAAGACTTGACAACCTTAACTGAATGAAAAGGAGACAGTTTAAAACTATCCAAGGCATATTTATAGTTCCACACCAATGTGCTAACTGCTCAATGCAAAGGGCACACAAAAATATTCTTTAAAAGCTGCAGGTTTTGTACAATTTCTACTGACAAAAAGGAGCACATACTGCAAATCGACAGAACGCAAATTTCAGTTCTAAGAAGACTCGCTTGCAGCTGCCAAGTGTGACTCATCCAGAACAAGGTGCTGCCCGGTGCAACGTGCAGCTCATGGGAACCCGAACCTGACTCCCAGCACCAGTCTTCCTCACCTCCTCGTTGAGGCTCAGGGCCCTCATCAGGGAATCCACATCGTCGAACTCCGCGTAGCCGAAGCCTTTGAGGCGCTCAGGGTTACTGGGCTCTCTGGGCAGCCGCACAGCGCTGATCTGAGGGGATGGAGTCAGAGAGAGGTTTACAGGATGTTCTTCCGAGGTCACAAGGCACTACACCTACTCTGAAATACCACACACACTGATGCCCAACAAAAGGGGCGCTGCAATTTAGGTAGGAGTAACATTTAAAACTTATTCCAACATGTGCAACTTCCGATTCCAGACTCATGGTAATGAAAGTAAAGAACGCCCTAGTGCGTTATGAGGCCCTCAATTAAATACCAGAAAAATCAGATGGATTCCAAGAGATGAAAAGCAGAGCAGACTGTGCAAGCAGACACAGAAAATATATTTCCAGTCAACTCACTGCATTCACATTTTGATGTAATGCATTTCATCCCAAGGAGGCCCAAGTGCTTGACAGGTGGGGAGCCCACTGTACCACCAGCTTCACTGCACCGCAGACCAGGCAGGGAAGAGAGAAATTACCTTACCAACCTAATTAAGGGCGAACCTCAGGGAAGCCAGATTGTGGAATCCAAAATTAACACCCCTACTCTTACAAACAGCGGCATGGGATCTTTAATGTCTATGTAGTCTGGACCTCGGCCAGTGTAACACGTTATGGACTGCAAAATCATAGAGCACAGTGCCCCTTGTGGCAAAACTGGAGAATTACCATATATATATAAGGCTGGCTGCCTCCACCCTGATCCCAATCAGGACAAGTAGCTTCCCAACAAAGAACGGATCGTTAGAAAGAAGCTTAAGAATATAAGAGGTCAAGAGGAAGAACAGCACCTGTTATAAATATAAATACCAATCTAACTCTTGAAATAGAAATTGTATTGTATCAGGAAAGGTAGCTCAGCTATCTATGCAAAACAAAAAAAAAGATTAGAGAACAGAAGCTCCTCCTGTGTTATACAATGAAACTGGATGAAAAAAGCTCCATACAAATAAGGAGAATTACTCCACAGCAGTGACTGTTAAAAGAGTGTGAACTACTGCAGCTCAAACAAAATGGCTTCTTACACTTCCATGACTAACAGTGTAACAATGGTTCCTTCTGTGTGTACATCTCATTTCATTTTGCCCATCTCAAGCCTTGCCCGCTGGCCTGGAGAATGAGCACTCGTAAGAAGCGGGACTCACACTGAGCCCCCTGAAGAAGTCCTTGATGGAGTCCTCGGTGACGTCGTAGGGCAGGTTTCCCAGGAAGGCGGTGTAGGGGGGGCTGCGGGGCAGGCGGGAGCGGTCGATGTTGGGCTCTCGGGCGGCCCGGGGTGCCGTGGGCAAGATGGAGCGGTCGATAGGGGCACGATAAACGTCATCATCCGTGTGCCAGGCAGTGGAAACTGTGGGTCACCCCAGACACCGAGAAACAGGGAGCATTCAGGCTTAAAAGGGCAGCTTCCAACACGTTATCAAGAATTTGTTACAAAGCTCTCGCACTTTAAGTGGGGGGGGGGGGGGGGGGGGGGGGGGGGGGGAGGTTTGTTCATAAATCTACACTGTTTGGAGAAAAACGTCTTATAAAACGATAGACGGATGACTGATTTATGAAAATGATTTTAAACAAAAGAAAAATGATTATAAGCCTCTTTAATTTGCACACATCTCAATTTACTCTTTTTGAAAATATTTACAAATGCAGATGTATCAAGACAAAATGTGTTTTTTTTACAATACAGGAAAATATTAATTTGTAGTGACACTTCTGTATTCTGGTCATTCTGCATCTGAACTCAGGCATTGTTAAAAACCTGGTGCTTGAAATAATGCTTAAAGTCATTTAACATGACATTCACAGCTTATCATTTAATCACCTAAATAACCTGAATACACCTTTTTTTTACAGAACTCCCAACTACCACAAAATAAAGAAAAGGTGTTAACAGTCCAAGCAGGCAACACCTGAGAATTGCTTCATTTATTAAGCAAGAAAAAGCACAGGCTTGGCGTTTCATGAACATGACCCCGATGAATCTGATGTCCTTCTTGTTCACTCACCATCTCCTTCCAGGTCATCCGTCTCATCTGCCCAGCTGGTGGGCTTGGCCGTGGGGTAGCTAGGGGTGCTGCCACCACTGTCCTCTGCCAGGAAATCGGTCAGAGTTAAGGTCTTCCCCTTCTTGTTCTTCTTCTTACCTGAGGATAAACAAAAAAAAATAATGGCTTTGTTGTAAAGGAAACATTCCTGCTGATATAATGCCATGATCTCCCCAAATTAAACTAAGATAAGGAATTAAGGTGTTTCACCAACAAATACATTTGAACCAGAAACATTTTTTCCACCTCAGTATAATCTGTTCAAGAGTCCACAGTTCCTTAAACATTGCAAAGACTAGGCTGCTACACAAACAGGATCCAGTCTGGTTGCCAGGCATGGACTGAAAGATGCCTATGATATGAGCATGGAGACTGACCCCGAGGTGCTGTGACTCCAGACAAATCAGGAGTAGGCAACGTGAGTGTACAAAAGGTCATACTGCCACCCTCAGTGTTTAACCTGCTTCTGTGGCTTGTAAATCAAGACAAGTTTTGTATGATTGCCATGATATACTCTGCAGATGTTGATGAGAGGTACACAAAAATAAAGAGGCGGTTCACAGGTTACTGTGCCAGTATCATGATTTTTCAAAAAAGGATGCTCTGCTACTATAAACTTATTATACTAAGTCATCCCCACACCAAGAGAACATCGGTGCATAATCAAAAAAAGGGAACCTTACTTTCAAGAATATTAAAATAATTATCCCAAACTACAAAAAAATAACAAGATATGTTTATTCTGAAAAACAGCAGCAGAGATGAAATACCAACATAAGAACACAATGTGGCAAAATCAGTTTCCGAAAAGTTATTTTTGCTAGATCACAATTGTATTACAAATCTAGTTAAATCTCTGCTACAGATGATTTCCTTAATAAGATTCCATTCTTCAGAAATTAAAAGGGTAAACAGCAAGTTCTTAACTGTTAAAACCCTGCATATTTTGTTACCGTACTCTTAAGGGAAAAAACTCTATTTATACAACACATTTCATCCTGAAACACCCCAAACACATTACATATAGGAAGGGAATCACTTCATCCACCACTGAATAGCAGCACCACCTGGGTGATATGTAGCTGCTATTCTCCACCAGCTTACCTACTGCAGTCCTAAAACAGCAACATTTGTACTTTTATCCAAACTGTGGTCACCCACGTACTTCATAGATGAACTCACATGCTCCAGACCAGCAGAAGTAAGAACCCCAAAAAGGTTAAACAAATTAAATTACCAAGAGAAACAACAAGAACTGACAAAGTAATGATTATGGGTTAAAGAGCAGATGAGAAGTATAACCCAAACATCCACCTACACTAATGTATCACATAAGCACTACACTCCCCTGCCCTCAAGGATGCAGTTTCAGTCTGACTGGGAGTTCAGTCAGATATTCACAAAGATATTTATAAAACTTCCCAAGAGTTTCTGCAATACATCATAATCATTAAAACCACAATTAAACCCTTGTAACCCAGACAAATATGTACTTACATGTAGTGCCTGGATTTAAAAGAAAGACTATAAAGTCCTGTCTCCTTTCTTACAAAAAATGAAATGTTTGCAACATGTGCAGATTCCGCAAAGGGGTCTTTCACCGGTCTGACAAAATAATCAAATTAAAAACCGTTTGGATAGATGATGAGGAGAAACATCTGCCTTTTTTTTCTTCAGCATGAGAGGTTACAGAGGTGAGACAAGGAAAATATCTGGGAACAGCGTTGGCCTAGAAAACACAGGACCGGGACAGAGCTCTAAATGGGGGCTGTGCTATATGTATGAAGCAAGAGGCAAGATGACCCCAGCATGTGTGCTCAACACAGAGGCTCACAAAACACTGATGCTAATCCATTACCAGAGTTAAAGATTACCGATTGGTGATGACTTTTGCATCAATTTCTCTTTGTGTTCCTGGCCTTTCCTTACTCAGGATATTCCACTGGCTCGACAGCCTGAAAATTACTTTAATTCAAAACAATTTTGCCATTTCCTGGAATCAATAAATAATCCTTCAATTAAATTCTAAAATCACCATGTCTCATTCTTCAGCTCACACAAATGAGCATCTGCTTCAGTAGCAAAGCCCTTTAAGTTGAGTATTTTTGTACCACTAAGACGAGAATGAATTTCCATGAGGAAAAATGATTTTTGACAAGGACAAACTGGTGCACAGTTTTACAGCAGGGCACTTACTGGAACAAGTGAAGCTTACTGAGTGAAGTACGTTGCTCAAGACCACAACAGTATTGCTCCAGACAAAATTTGAACCTGTGATCTTCCAGTCTGCCATCCAGAGCCCTAACCGCTACTCCGATTAATTTAACGTTAAAAACAAGAAGAACAAAGTCTTTTTATTGGCAGGTCAACCGCAACTGGGTGCATTCAGACAGTTTACATCTGAAACAAGATAAAAAAGTCCACCCGTAAGTCAGACAACCATCTCAGACCAGTTTAGAAGCACAACATGTTCATTCAGGAAATCAAATGTTTTGGATGATTAATAAAAAATGTTCAGACTGTGGTCTAGCATGCATTGCACCATCCCCTGCGTTTGGTTACTTGACTTCACCCAGGAATGCAGTGAACAAGGGGATTAGAAAGAAAAAATGGAATACATAGATAGAATGCATCCCAGAAAAAAAAAAGTGATAGAAATCTCATTCTCTCCTATACTCCAACAAAAAAAAAATCAAAGGTTTTTAAGACTTTGAAATGTTCTCTTTTTTGCCAGTGGGAATTTTGCTAGTGTTCAGTACTTTCACTAATCTAATCAACTAAGGAAGAACCATTACTATGATCATTAAAATGGCACAAAGACCCCCCTCCCCGCCCCCCAACACAATCCAAAACACGGGGCTCAGGCAGCTGTAACCTCAGCATGCTTAGGTAATCCAGCAAGACCAACTCGGTGTCCTTTCAGATGCTGGCAGGAAAACCTTCCATTCTAACTGGTGCATACCCACATAAAAGCTCAAGACGAGCGGAGCTCAGCGAAGGAGTGTAAACGTTCAATAAGAGGCCAAAGAAAACCGTCTCTTCACTGCTTTGCCTTTTTTTTATCTCGGAATGACAGCAGGCGGCTTTGCCCCTGGTAGTAAACAAAGCAGGGTGTGATGCACACGCCCAGCCTTTGAGATGGCGTACAAAAGGACTGGTATAGACCGACGAGATCGACTTACCACCCAACGTAACTCGACAGCGTTTCAACCAGCAATTACATAAGGCATCTTCAGTGACAACTGCTGTTTCACTACGACTGCAGCTTCCGCCGGAGCTATAAACCCTGGGACCACGGCCATACACACGCCCTTTTGTAGAAGAAGTCGCGCTACAAGCGTGATCAAACGGAGGCGCTACTTCACCGTGGTGAACACGGAGCGGTTTATTAAAATAGAACTACGCCTGTATCCCCTCCCCCCCTTCTCATCTGACAGTTTTTGAGCTCACAGAGTCTGTTCCTAAAACCAAGTTAATAACTGAATCGTCAGCGATCTGTGCGGATGGTTGGGAAAACAGCAGACGATCGGAAAAAGCACTTGGACTTCTGACAGCACGTCTGGGTCCAGACTGGAACGCGTGATGAGACACTCACGGGGGGTAGGGGGGACGGGGCTGTTCCACTATTCTGTATGAACATAAGCCTCAATGCTTCAGCACGACCAGCCGACTCGAATCGGGACATCGCGTACGGACAAACCAGACGGGTGCCAGAACTTCACACCACACACAAAAAAAAGCCCATCGCAAACAGGGCCCTGTTCCTCACAGCGCTCCGACACGCGTGACTCAAATCCAGCTAGGCCTTAGCCATTTATTCTAACTCATTTGCGATTGGCTTGCCAGATACAGGCTCCCCCCCTCCTCCCACTGCTAAGGCCGCGCCATGCCGATTTTTGCCTCTGAACGGCTCAGTGCGGGAAGGGAGATAGGAGAGAGCTCAAGGGATCATGTACGGGAGGGGGCATTAGCACACACGACCATGCTTGCCCGTCGGCCCCGCCAGCTCGCCCTGCACGCTGGCGATCTTGCCCCCACCCGAGATACACGTGGGGAGCTCCTCCATGCCCCACAACACACCTCCGCCCGTCACCGCGCCTGCGCCGCCGCGCAGACAGGGCGCCTGCTTCTACAGCGCCGGGCGGGGGGCACAATGTGGCAATCGGTCCGAGTGCATGCGCAGCAATCGGGCCGCAACAGCACTGCATGTGACAATCCCGGCCTAGCCTAAAATAAAGAAAAGAAAAGCCCAGGGGCCTCGGTGTGGCAGAGCCCCAGGGAGACCCCGCGCAATGTGGCGCAGATTCACGGATAATATCCGGCAAAGCGCCGCGAATCCGCCCCCCCCCCTCGCCTCCCCGGCTCCGTCCGCTAGCGAAGTCTGGACTTTCCAGCCCCGTGCCCGACTCCATTTCAACACACAAACAGCCTGCCCCGCGACGAGGATAACCTTCCTCCTTATTCTGTCGAGTCAGTCGCGTCCGACAGCCCTTCTCCCAACCCTATATCCCCGCACCGGCCCAGCTCCTCTCCCCACATAAACCTCACCTGACGACGCCATGATGGAGAGTGAGTCCGTGTCAGAGTCCCGGATGGAGGCGTCACGTGCTTATCGCCGGGAGCGCGCATTCGTGCCCGTGGCGTACGCGCGGAATAAAATGTCCTCTCCAGCAGTAGGCAGTCACCGCCCTAAGGAAGATATATTTATGTTTATTTTAATTCCAGTAAAAGAGAATTCATTCCCCTTTCTACTGAACGGACGTTAACGTTTGTTCGATGGTTTTAAATGGAAAAGGAGAGTATTTTTTTCTTTTCTGAACTTTTCAAGCAGAATTTGTATAAATCAGTATTTACTGTAAATAAATTCAGGAATTGAATCAGTCGGTAATTTTAACTCTATCACTAATGACAGCTTAAGGTGATACTGCGATGTCCAAGCACAGAAAGGAATCAGAAGGAGTCTATCATTGTGCCCCATTCTGTGACAGGCGATTTCAACATCCTGTGCAATATTGAAAGAGAATTCAAAGAATTTCCATTTTCGTTGTAGCTTCAAAACCTACCATGCAGGTGTCCTGTGCCATTCCACCTTGATATGTTACCTGAAATCGTGACATCTTATAACCGTGCCTATAATACTGTGTAATAATATACTGGTTTAGATTACAAGATCATGTTAGCAAAGGCAGATCTCACAAAACTCCACATAGCACATACATCTCACGTACTTCCTCAAAAGGCATTGAAGTCGACCCAGAGGATGTCTTCACAGACAGTGAAACAAATTAGAGGATAATGCGGAAATTATGTTTAAGTGCGTTTAAAACCTAGAACATAGAAGAGAGGGCAATTCTTTAGCCAAAGGGTTGTGGGAGTCTGGAACAAGCTGCCAAGCCAAGCTATTGAAGCCCATACCCTACTGAGCCCACCTACATCATGCTATGGGAGAGAAGACAGAATGCGGTCTAAATTACCCAAGTATCCATCAGACATCGCAGCTGACCATGTAAGTACGTGCACATGCGCTGGCTGCTCCTCCTCATTGTGGAAAACACAAAATTACTTTCTGCCACTAGATGGCAGTAATGCACTACATACAGAACTACTATGCGGCGTTTCTTACATGAGGCACATACTGTATCAGGGTTCCATATCGTAATGAGATAAACCAGCTAGTAACAGGCTTAACTGGACCAATTTAACAGCCTTTTCCAGCTCTTCAGTTGCTGCTGCTTTAAAACCCTGCAGACACACTGACCCCCCTGGAGCAGGACTGGACACCCTGCAGACACAGTGACCCCCCAGGACCAGGACTGGACATCCTGCAGACACACTGACCCCCCAGGACCAGCACTGTATGTTGCCTGGCATATATATCTGAATGCACAATGAAAACACATTGGTGTAAGGTTACATTAATATCCAAATGAACAAATAGTGAAAAAAACATTTTTGTAGAAAAACCATTGAGTAGGTTTGTTCTGTGGATTAGCAAAATATTCAATTTAAGTCATGGGATTCTTAAAATTGCCATGTTCACAGTATTTGGTATTTGAATTGAGTTCAAAAACAGCCATTTAATAAGGCAGAATTTTAAACAATACCAAACAATGACAGGTACATGCCCCATCTGATTAAAGATTAGAGATGCCTAGCTGCTATCAGTGGAATTGAAGCCCATCAAGGAAAAGTTGCCCCAGAGAATTAAATGGAATGGCTTTCCGCAACGAGCAGACTACTGTCGAAAATCCAGGAAACTGGCTCTGTGTGGGACAGACCACATCATGAATAGCAGAGGATCATGACTATGGCCCTCGAGCACTGCATTGAAGTGCATTTAAAAATGGGGTGTGGGAGTCTGGAACAAGCTACCCAGCCATGTCATTGAAGCCGATACCCTGACGACCTTCAAGAGGCAGCCAAATAAGAACCATAGATCAATTAACTGCTAACTACTAAACAGGCTATCCATCCAATCATTTTCTAAATGCTTCATCCAATTTAGGGTTTCAGGGGAGCCAGAGCGTATCCAGACAAGCAATGCGAGCAAGGCAGTATACACCCTGGGCAAAACACCAGTCCCTCACAGGATAAACACACAGACATACTCACACCAGGGCCAATTTTCACAGAAGCCACTGAACCTAGCTGTATGTCTTTGGACCATGGGAGGTAACCCACATGAATTCATGGGAACATGCAGACTCCACACAGATAGCACTCAGATTGAGCCCAGGGCCCCAGCACTGCAAAGCAGCTATGCTTACCACTCTGCCACTGTGCTACCTACCCAAAGTGCTGGAGGCTTTTGTTGACCAATAAATGCAACTTCTCGCTTGACAAACCTGACAGTATAAAGAGTGTCAGATGTGATAGTGAGCATTACAACACTGGCTGTTGCATTTAAGGGAACAGAATGTGAATCTGCAGACTGCCAGCCCAGCATGCGGCTATTTCCATCTCCAAAAGTGTAGCTACACTGCCTTGGGTAAACGGATACATTTCAAGGCAATATGGCTTTGTCTCGAGAGTGATTTTGTTTTGTCAGATCTAGGGGAGCCAAATCTCTTTAAACCAAAAAACAACAGGGTGTTTCCCTTTTCATTTCAGTCTTTTTATCTTCAGATCACGGTTGCTGTGATGAGTGGTACGCAGAATGGAGAGTACATGGCGTGGGACACTGCTGAAGCAACGGTAAAGTGAAAAATCTATCTGTCCAGGCGGTGACTCGTGCAGAACTCGCCACAGGTGAGTCAGGTTTGACCTTCAGCGATGACTAGAATGGCATCCAGGTACTGTATGTGCCAGGTGTTTCCTGTGTCTGATCTCCGGTGATCAGGTGTCTGTGTCAGTCAGCGGCTGTACTGCCAGGCAGGCAGTAATGAAAGTTAACTCTTCAAATTCAGGAACAGATCTTTTAAGGGACAAAAATCTGACATGCTAGCCAGGTTGTTTCTGACAATGTTGCTAGTCGTAAACGCACTAGAAATAAACGTTCCCTAACTGTTTAATTGTGACCTCCAGCAGGATGGTTGATTCTGATCCTTTGTTTGAGTTCCTTCCTGCATAAATTGCAGTTTCTTGGGCAAGAAACGACTTGTATCGATACAGCAGAAGCTGTTGCCTGGAGGAATACAGCACTGTGAGCAGCACCTTAAAAAACAGCAAAGTGCAGGCTAGGAAGGGTACAAAAAACACAGGTCATTTGCACACACGAGGACATCTGACTAGTCAGACAAAAGATAATTTCCATATCTGAGCCAAAGCAGATGATATCTGAGCCATGATTTTCCTATCAAGCAGACTGAGAGCGAGTCTCTCTCCCTCCTGGAGAGGAAAAGCTGGTCTGCACTTATACAGCTGGGCGGACTGGAGCCACTGGGGTAAAGTACAGTACCCCACTCAAAGTACAACGGCAGTGACTGTTGCAGTCACTTGAACCCGCAACCCAGCAGCTATGAGACACTGCCAGGCAGATGGGGAACAAAGGAAACATTAATTTATGCATGGGTTTTCCTTTCACACAGGAGAATCATTTACAAACAAAAAAACAAAATGACCTTTACCAGCTTCAGAAGTAAACAAAAAGTCTACATAATTTATAATAAATGAAGCAGAGACATCTGAATTGTCTCATATTTTCTCTTGCTTCTGACATCTAAGCCCTGTTGTTGAAGAGTAGTAGGTCTACTTGCTCCTTAAAACTACCTGAGAAAGACTGAAGAGAGGGGTACATTGAGATGTCTATTTTTGTCACTGAGCCCGCTGTATGAATCTCAGGTCCACTGTTTTTTTACTAGACTCAATCCTACCACCAAAGGCTGTCTTGTTATAATATATCATATTATTTCTAATAATATTGTAATAATAAGGCTTGCACTTTAATAAAAACATGTGCAAAGTTCTAGACTATCATAATTAGCAGCTTTGACACAACACCAGGCACAAAATGGAGCAGGCACCAGCACAGCAGTATATGACAGTTTGATTGTGTGTGTCACGCAGGGCTTGCCTCAGGTGCTCATGCAGGGGAGTGGTTAATATCACTGGAGTGGAAGCACTGGGTCAAAAGTGCTTTCCTTTTTCTCTTTATATGGAGGGACCTTTATTCAGGAAAGCAGATTTTCTGCATTAATACAAGCAATGCATTCAAAAGATAAAGTGACATTGACTCATGAACAGAACAGTAATTGTTTGCAAAAAACAAATCTTGCCTAACTGTCTGCACCTCTTTGCGTTTGTCTGTTGTCCAAACTTTCACCGGTTTCCTTGGCAACAAATTCCAAAACTAGCACAGATAAGCTTCTCAAGGACAGGGCTGGATATGGGAGGAGGACCTATCCCAGCAGTCAGTGCAGGAAAAGCCACAAACATTCTGCGGCTCTCTTTCGATATACGAAAATCAAGGTCTGGAAAATCTGAGCCCTCAGATAACTCAGGTGTTTTGAAACTAGCAGATTCCTTTCCTCCTGATAAAACTGACACTTATTAACCTCGTGCCTATGAGACCAAAAAAAAGACGATACCTGTGTTTCAGTTGCCAACACAAAAAATATCAATCATCATTGTGTCACAGATTGCACGGTCAGTGAACTGATTCATACCAGGGCATAAATTCTTACTCCAAGCAGATAATTTTTGGCATACCTGGAACAATTCCAATCAGAGCACATGAGCAAACACAGAGACAGCCTTATCTTAACGTACATTTTTTTAAATTATTTATAAAAACATGAGCATCTTTCCAAATAAAACTGGGTCAGTTTTTGAAGCTTTCCAAAATGCACACTTAAACCTCTCTGAAAAAGAGCTGCCCAAAAACCGATGAGAAACAAGCAGATGCTGGGTTGATTGTTATCTGCTGTTGGTTGGCAGGACAGTCCACGCATATAATTTCAGAAGATAAAGACCAACTCCAGTGATATAGTTGCTGCATGATTGATATTGTGGCTTCAACATGCTTGGCTTAAGGGACTACACTCCAGACAGGTGGACAAGGATGTTGGAACCTCATCTTTTAGGCACAAGCTTGCTCCATTTAAGGTGAAGTTAGTGTGGTGGAAGAGTGCTAGCCCAACAAACACAGAAAAATGTCCAACTAAATGTAATTTATTCCCAAGAGCTTGCACGTTTTCAGAAGATTATTTACCCTATTTGCAAACATCTGTTATGAACTGCATTACATGAAAAGTATGATGTTCTTATTTTATGCAATGCAGCACACTCTTTTGGAATTCCTTTCATGTAATGAAGATCCATCCATCTTCTAAACTGTTTTATCCCATACAGGGTCACAGGAAAGCCATAGCCTATCCCAGCAAGCAATGGGCATGGGTAGGGTACATCCATTTTGGTTGGGTTGCAAGTCCATTGCTGGGCACATACAGACACTAACGTACACACTCACACCAGGACAAGATTTATCAGAGGCCCGTTAACCTCCCTGTATGTTTGGACTGTGGGAGGAAACTGGATCATCTGGAGGAAACCAGTTCCCCCATGTGAAGATGGGGAGAACATACAAACTCCACACAGATAGCACCTCAGGACGTCAGCTGACTACTGCACTGTGATGCCTATGTATTATTCAAAATGATAATAATATTGTGGTTTTATCAAAACTCATATGGAAATCCCATGCAAAAAAAAAATAATTCTTCTTACCTGGTGAAAGCAAGTTAATTTCTTCCCCCAGAGCGATTGCTCATAAATAAAAATTCTGGAACACCTTTTCAGATTTGTATGTTAATCATTTTAATCAGGTGCTCTGAGACTGTGATACAACACTGAAATCGTTATTGTTCGCTTTTCAGTAGGTGTCTCGATATTTCACATCAAACATACTGTACACACTTGTGTAGCTTGTGAAAAGCACCCCCTTCCTTCACCACTAGAGGGTAGGCTTTACATGACAAAAACTGCTAAACACCTAGCTACATAAGAGGCTTTTGATAAATTCATATGTTCTTTAACAGTTACAAAACTAACATTACACAACTATAGGCCTAGATAGAACTCACCAAACTAGCAAAATATTGTGTGCTTTGCTAGGTTTAGGTAACTCGATGACAACTCCCCATTTCTCTCAATTTCCTTGAAGTGGTATTGCCAGAAAGCCCTCCACCATATTCAGAGTAGGGACTCTTTTCCAAGGTGAGTCTCAGGCTGCGTTGCTAGGAGCAGGCCTCATATTCTGTTCAACCTACATGGAGACCACTGGCCAATCAGAATGCTTAATGTGACATAATAGTTATCCAAGGATGAATGTGTGGAAAGTATTAACCGAAGCATGCAGTAAATATCTGCTTTCTATACCTGTCATCAGATACTCATTTCTTTTACGTTTATGAGTGCTGTTTGTGTGCTTTACACCCTACCTCTCTTTTTTTGTGATATTCCCTTGAGACAACAAGCTCCCTATAGACCAGTGTGTCTCATTAAGTTTTATCTAAGCTGATAAAATATCAATTTAAATAAATTATTTTCCTCATTTGGTTTGCAGTGCTCAGCCTTCGTTGGTTTAAAAGGGTCCATTCAGGTCCAGAGGCCATGAATATAGAGTTTACGAAAAGTAACAATATCCATCAATCCATTTTCTAACTTTCCATCACAGGGCACACACAGACACAAACACACGCACACTCACACCAGGGCCAGTTTTCCAAGAACCCAATTAACCTTCCAGCGTGTTTTTGGACTGTTGGAGGAAACAGTGGCCATATCACCCTGCATCTCACCACTGGCAGCCCACTGAAGCTCAGCAGGTGTGAGCCTGACCAGTACCTGGATGGGAGACCTCTGTGGAAAAACTAAGTTTGCTGCTGGAAGAGGTGTTAGTGGGGCCAGCAGGGGGCGCTCACCCCACAGTCTATGTGGGTCCTAATGCCAAAGTATGGTGACGGGGATACTATACTGTGAACAGGCGGATGAGATGTAAAACTGAAGTCCTGACTCTGTGGTCATTAAAAATCCCAGGGTGCTTCTCGAAAAGAGTAGGGGTGTGACCCTGGCATCCTGGCCAAATTTCCCATTGGCCCTTTCCAATCATGGCCTCCTTATAATCCCCATCTATGAACTGGCTTCATCACTCTGTTCTCCTCCCCACTGTTAGTCGATGTGTCGTGCGCGTTCTGGCGCACTATGGCTGCCGTCGCATCATCCACGTGGGGCTGCACATTGGTGGTGGTGGAGGGGAGTCCCCATTACCTGTAAAGCGCTTTGAGTGGAGTGTCCAGAAAAGCACTATACAAGTGTAAGCAATTATTATTATTATTATTAAACCAGAGCATCCAGAGGAATGAATACTGAGCAAACTCAGTAACAAGACGAAGAAGAAATTATAACCTGTTAGAAAGAATGGGACAGAGACACATACCTTATTTCGTGTTTTTTTTTCAAAGGGTCTTAGAATTGATCAGACCCTTAGATAAGAACTTGCTTTGGGCTTGAACAAATGGCCTTTTGTTATTTGTAAATTCCTGATTATCCAGTATGAATAGCGCGTTTTATGCAAAGTTCCATTTCCTTGTATCTTATTAAATACTCGTATCATCTTTTACACTGTTGTCCTATGTTATTCTACACTTTTCTTACTCCTTGGCTGGCTATTGGCCAGGCTACCAAAGAGCATCATCCGCTATCTAATCAGGAGGAAATGACAGGGGGAAAAATTTCAGTGTTTCACAACCTTCTGACAGAACAAGAATTGAGAAGCCTGTTTCTAATCACTTCTTGCCAGGGTTGTTAGTCAGGATGGTGAATGACCACCCAAAGACAAAATAGGTTTAAGCCTTTTTGTAACCGTTCTGAAGACTGGGCTGTTATTACAGAAAACACTTAGTGATTTGGTAATCATGAGAACAAAAGGTGACAGAAGGCAGGCTTGTTTGGCTGTTAATATATAATGGACCTGAGGATTGTGTCCACTTTTTAAAAGAATGCAGTCTATTGGCTTCAACAGCACAGCAGCCCTGGCTCATTCTGTCCATGGGGCGTTGACGTTGGGGTACTTAGATGACCTTATCCTGATGAGGACGTCACTCCTTCAGTCAAGGGGTTTAACTAAAATCTATATCTCAGTTTATTGACACTCCGTACTAGGCATGAGGCCTATTGAAAACGTCACTTTGGAGAGGTTGGAGCTGCTGCCCATTTGGCAACCTCTGAGCTGAGACCGCAGGAAGAACTACAAATACTCCAGCTGTTACTAGGCCCTGTGTTTTGTGCATTGACAGCTAACACCATCTGAAAGGACCTGCTCCTGTTATTCATTTGCCGCGGCATGGCCCTGTTTTACCTATCAAACCCGTAGATTAAAATTTGACCGTAATCGTCCCGTTTCTAGAGTTTTCCTGGATCGCTGCAGGTGCTTGATTTTCACCCGCCAAACCGCAGCAGCGGCGGGCAGTCTTGAGCGATTGGCGCGCGGCTGTGTAAATCCGCCTCATGTCGACAGGGAAAGGGGAGGGGTGGAGGTTTGCGAGGTTGACATTGTGTCTTTTTTATAGCTCCTGTGCATGAAAGCAAACCTTTGTAACCTTTCCGGTGATTATGGGTAACGCCTACTAATCGCAGTTAAAAGCATATTTTACTATCCTTTACCTTCCTCGTGCTCTGCCAAGCAAGGCCCCAGAGTTTTTGCAGAGCAGAGCCAGTCTGCTCACTGGGTTTCCTGGGATATATCGTAGAAGTGGAGGAGCAATTCCTGCAGTCAGGAGAAACAAGGGGCCTTCAATAGGGCTCTGAAACCGTGTAAACCAATACTTTTAAGCTGATGGCAGCTAGGATAGGGCTCATTATTGCAGAACCCTGTGCAGAGGCTGCAGCCTTTGTAACCAAGGGGGAATAATCCAAGTGTTACTCCTGTCCTCTGTGGCCATATGGAGTGTCGTCAGTTTTACTTGGGACGTCTGGGGCTGTGTCTGACGTTGGGACAAACGCAGCCGTCATGACAGCATGGGCGCAGCAGAATGGTTCATTTAAGCTTTCACGCAGATCTCTCTAATTCCAGGATGCCGCAATCGCAATTCCGATTGTGAAAAGTCAGAGGGCCACGCCCCTCTGGGGAGTTGAATGACCAATTCCAGCATGACGAAATGCACACCTGCAGTTCACGCACCCACCCCGGGCCAAAGAGGATTAAAAAGAAGCAGTGGATGAGCTCACCTAAAGCCCATTGTCTGACGCGGTTGCAGACAATTGAGGAGAAACATTTGGAAAAGATCAGGTATCCCCTCCCGCCCTTTTCTGCATTGTGACTGCCAAGCCTTGTACAGATCAGATCTCGGGGGAACTGCTCTGGGCTGGGTCAGCATTTGTAATAGTGTTCTCCTGCTTAACAGTTCAGACAAAGCAAATCAAAGATGCAAATTGAGTTGGCCTCAGTTTGGACACTTGTTTGATCTTCAGAGACTGCAAATGTCTGAAATAAAAGCTTCTGACAATAAAAGAATCACACTTGCAAGCATGAACCTGCAAGTGATAATCTTGAAATAATGGGGTAAGGAGATCTTTTTTGTTGGAAATATAATTCTCAGCTACGACAAAGCTGGAAAATTATGCTTTTTGTTTTCCAATGGAGTAAACCGTGGGACAACAGCTCACTCTGCCTTATATTTATTGGACAGGCGGTCTCCCAGCAGTGTTCCCACAGGAAAATAAAAAAAACAGGCCATCATTTGGTGGTTCCTGTTTTGTAGTAAATAACAGAAAGTCTTGAATAATATAGGTGTTTTGACTCGTGCCGCCCATTTTAGTAGTTGGTAGCGAATTGATTCAAGGATCTCATCCAGCCATTTCTCGTAAGAAGACAAGGTATCAGCTTCAACAACAAGGTTGGGTAGCTTGTTCCACACTCCCACCACCCTTTGTATAAAGACCTTTCCTTATACAGTACCTCAAAGGGCTGCACATCTTCCTTACATATCCAGGTTTTTCACAGTCCTCTAATCTTAAAAAATAAAATGCTTTTCAGTTTCAACCATAAAGGCATTGCAAACTGCGTGTTTCTTCAGAGGAGCTCTTTTTATTTCTGGAAAATCACTTCCACACTCCAGGTCAGGGATTCAAAATCCAGGCAGTTTCCCTTTAACTATTACATGTTGTAAGTGATTCAAAATCTCCACCTTTCAGGCGGGTTCCAATGTGCGGGTTGGAACGTTTAATTAGGGGCTCAATTAAGTAACTCAGGGGTGGGCTGGAAAGAAAACCAAACAAACATGCGGTATCGAATAATGCTTCTCAATCTGGCTCTGACTGAGCACAAAAGACTCAGAGAGGAAGTAGCACTCTGGCACCAGACTGAAGTGTCTCACACTCAGTCTCACAAAAAATAAACATATGAATTAATATATATACTGTACTCCCACGCTTTCAATGATCCAAAGTATTGTGAACTCAAGTACTCAAGTGAATTCACATAAATGAATCCATTTTGGTGAGTTGTTGGAATTTCAAAATAAAGCTCTTAAGACCAGCATGACTGAAGCTTTGGCCTAATCCCCTTGGTTGTGGCTTTCCTTTTGTAAACCTGAGCTAAACCTTCTTGACCAGAGCCACACCTCACATCTCCCACCCGCTCATGAGTCACTAGACTTTGACTTTATCACTTAGATAAAGCTCACAAGCCCTTCTCTGTCTCACGCTGCCCGTAGCAACTCAAATACAATGAGTCATCTTCTCTTTTAGCCCAGTTCCTGGCTTGATAATCTTGCAGTTTTATTTCATTTTGTTGACAGCACTGTCATACCAAGGTTATGCACCTCTCCTCATAGTTCCAGGCTTACAAATGAGATGGGGGAGCCATGGGCAGATGCCATAATCCGAGGAGTTTTGAAAGACCTGAAAAACTTCAAGAGGGGGGCTTACCACACAATGCAGAGAAATACAGATTTCTGATAACAGGTTATAGAGGTTTTAAATTGGAGGAACCAGTTTATCAGCCTGGACAATAGAGTTTCTCACTATCATTTGACATTTTAACTTCATTTATTTATTCATTGATAACTGATTTGGCTGATGCTTTTAGCACGACTTACGTTTGCACCCATTTATACACCTGAGTATTTTACAGGAGAGTTCAGGTGAAGTAAATGTCTTGTTCAGTCATGTCTCACCTGGGATTTGAACCCACAACCTAACAGTAACGAGCCAAGAGTCCTAGTGGCTGCAGGAAACAAAGTACTCAGCTGCAGTTGTCCCTTGAGTCAGTCCTGTGACGACCTGTTTCATTAGTGTTTAAGGATTCCTTCGCTTTCATCCCACTGTTGTGGCTGGAGAGCCTCTGGCTTGGAAAAGCCATGGGAAGAATCAGCGGATAATTCAAAGAATCGAAACCTTTGTTTAAATTTCCTCCTTTAAGGAAACGGAAATCCTTTAAGGAAACACTCTCTCCTCAGAGAAGGGAGATTGTGCATTCAGAGCCCCAAACCCCACCTCATTCTGTCTGCATGGGTGTGACAGAGAGCTGCCTTTGAATCAGGGGTTTGGAAAAACATGGGGTCAGAGTCTTGGGTGAAAAATTCATCACTATGAGGGGCTTCATCTGTTTAAGTAACCTGACCTTTCATAATTAACTCCCCGAGTGAATTCTTTAAGCTTTTAAGTGTTGCTTCATACTGAAAGTTCATTTTTAAGAGGGTAGCTCCCTTCCAAAGGACCAGAGAAGTATAATACTGTGTTTTTCAGTTCTGTATAATGCTGTTGCAAAATGCACAGGGTAGGTGCTGCAGAGAGAAGACAGCCTTCAGGTCAAAGAGAGGGGGAGGCTTAGCAATGACAGCACAGGCCAGATTCAAAGCCCACCAGATAAGAGCCATCAGGAGGCTTTCATCGTAAATATCTCTGTTCTAAGGCCTTGCTTTTCAGAGTAGGAGGGAAGATTTTAAATACCAGGTTCTTTACATCACCCTGGCCTCTCCCATTGACCTCAAAAAGAAACAAAATGGGAAGAATTTGTCCTGGTAAGAGATTGGGCGGGAGAGGCAGTTATGGATTTTTAACTTTTGGAAAGAAAGTCTCTTTTATGAGGTTGTGCTTTGAGACAGTTTGGTTTCAAAAAACATTGTTTCAAAAATCCATTTCAAAGTGCATTGTGCATTGCCCCCTGTTGCCATCAGACAGAGTGAAAATATTGGTCAGAAGTGGAGCCAGGGGGCAGCCCTGTACCCCTCTGCCCTCGGTCCTCACCTCTCCTCTCTGAGACATTGACATCAGTCTGAATTCCTGCTGGCCACAGTGCTGTCTCGCGCACCTCAAATCCTCGGATAATTTGATAACCTTGAAAAATGTACTGTTTGAGTTGCGTTCCCAGCAAGTTATTTTGACTTCTTAGGTACTGATGGGAAGGTTTAGCAAAACATCTACAGGAAATGTTTAGATTTCTTCCATATATTCTTAGTTTGCAACTGCACTCTTCTTGTGATAAGCCATTTTCTTGTGAATTATTTTGTACTTTCATCTAGACGATTTCCTAGAATACTGTATATCTCACTGTTATTTCAATACCTTCCAAGAGACAAGTCCTGAAAAGTTCTAAAGCTACAGTAGTTTTGACCTTGAAAGATGGCCAGAAAAAAACATTGACCCTATCCACTTGAGCCAACATCATGGGACTGGTTACGTTACAGATTCTACAGACACTTGGGGTGTCTTGGGGAAGAGAGGGAACCTGCACCTGGGGGCAAATGACAAAATAAAACTGGGGCTCAGAGCAAAAATGAAAATGGAGAAGATCCACACAAATGAGTTGGTAAGATTTTGGTTTGCCATAATCAACCAAGATACTTCAAACAGCAGGTTGCAGGTAGATTTTCTTCTGCAATGGCCCAATTATGTCCCAGAGCAAAGAAGGCATACAATGTTCTGTAATGTGAGCAACAGATTTGGAAGGTGTAGAAACAGTTTCAGAGTCCTTGGCAGGGGACACTGGTTCACTGTCATCTGTGTCAGGGAGGGTGGCTCAATCCTCGTTCTTCCAGGTCAAACGCAGAAGTGCAGTTTTGAAATCTGTCTGGGGTTTACATGGAGAGACGGTGATTCAGGTTGGCCGTGCTTTTGAAAAACAAACGGAAGGAGGGAGACTGGTATTACTGCAGACCCCTGTTTATTCTGCATTGGACTCCGAAGGCAGAGTTCACCAATTTCCACAGCACAAACAGCTGTCTGTTTTTGTACCAATTCAGCACAAGACTTACTGTATCTTTAATGCAGATTTTGTCTCAGACTAGCAGGTTAGGTCATAAAGGATTTGGGCATCATGCAAAGCAGTTAGAATCTGTGAGATGAGTACTGACAGCTGGACCAACAGTCGTTCAGATTGGAGTCAACGATTATAAGCTGCAGTTTTAGACATAGGAGCTCATCTAGTAGAGCTGGAAAAGTGACCACTGCATAAAGCAAGTGCCCCAGTGTTCGTTGCAGAAGTTCATGAGGTTGATCCTACAGTGGCCCAATGTGGTTAGGATGTGTGGGACGTTGTTTTATTTTATACAAACGAAGCAAGGTGAGTCTGCCATTAGGTTTCATTCACAAAGCCTACAGTCAAGACAAACAACGCAATCTTATGACAGTTGCAGTTCTGGCTCGCTAGTTGGAAGAAACCCAAACTTGTTTCTGTTTTTTACTTTCATAAAATACATTTACAGCTCTCCCACCCTTTGCTACAGTACGTTTGCTGAACTGGTTCAGCTGGGAATGCACTTTAGGCAGCTCTGCAGATCCGAGCAGATCAGAATCCTATTTCACAGCAGTCTGTTCCATTTCTGGTTTTAGCAGATGCACTTCTCTAGTACAGACTACGCTGATAAGGCTGTAATTGTAATAGGGGCAGCTCTGTGTGCTCTGATTCAGCTCTGATTTGAACATAGCTGCTCTCCGGCCTCTCCAGCTTCTGAGCCACACATCACCCCTCTAAACTCTGGCCTGACCTCTGCAGCAACCTCAGCAAGTGTGATCCCAGTGCACCTCTGTGGCAGCCAGAATTAGATCATGGATTCTCCAAGGTACCACACAGCATCGGTATCCAGACAGCAGAGAATTCTCCAGCAGTAGGAGAATTCAGAGCAATTCAGGCTCCAAGGATGTGATACTAATGTCTCTAACAGGAACAGTACCAACAACCCCTGTTACATAAAGTCTCACATAGTATTATTCGAGCTTCAAATGTGTCTTGATTTACTCCAAATAAGATAAGCCTAACTATCCAGCACCTGCTGTTGACTTATTTAAGAGCCCACGCCCAGTGAAGCCTGATCAAACTGCTATGCAGCGGAAGTCTTATCTACTACCCTGGCAGTGTGTTTTTTCTCTGCTAGTATAATATTAACCAGCCAGGTATTGTGCACAGTGTAGATGAATACTATGTAAGTAAGCAGAACTGAAATATCAGCTCCTAATACCCAAGAAAACAATCTGCTGCTGTTTTCAAAAAGGTGCTTGCAGAAAGGCTGCAAATCAGTGACCTTTTCGGCTAAATGGTGGGTATTTGTGTTATCTGGGTTGTTAGAGTTGTGGCATGCAATCTTGTGGTTTCCATGCATGCTATTAAACCAATTTGTTTCCTGTGAGTCACTAGAAACCATGGCATCTGGGAGAGATGGGGATCAGCCAGGGATTAGCAGACAGGTTCCCACGATGACACACCTAGATTGTTCCCAGGTCCCAGTCACCACAGAGACAGCGTTGCCTCAATCACTATTGCTTGCCATTGGCGACACAGCTGCTATTGGGAGACTCATCTGGCACATAAACTATACGTCTGACGACAGATCAATGTTAGATCATTGCTGGCCCAGTGCCTGGTAATGGCATTATCATCAGCACCAGTCTAATGAGTCTC